GCTAGCAGCTGCGCTGTGCTTTCGGGCTTGCGAGAAGCCTAGGCGCCCCGAACATCGAACAACTGAGGTGTTTTCAGAATTTCATGTTATGCGGTGTGTTTCAAGAAGAGCAGGCTCTTGGAAATGGCTAAAGCTTCGATGTAAGGATGATTTCAAACGAAAACTTTACGGACGATTTGTTGGTGAGCAGATGCAGGGAGCTTCCGCATGCACTGGCAATATATGGGCATAACGGCATAATCATCCTGGCCGCCATGGGCGCTCTGTTAATCCATTGCACTTGGAACTCGAGTCGGAACAGTCCAAGATTATTTCGAAAGCAGGACACTAGCAGACATACTTTTCCTGGCCACCCGGAATGCCCTGGTAACTGCCAACATGAACAGAACTATCCTGGCCAGCATAGATTGTCTGGTAAGTGGATGCATTGTTAACGTGGACATAATGATCCGGGTCACCTTTTCCCTGCGTGTCCTGCTGCAACACACTGAGAGCAGGCAACATCTGCAGAACATGAGCCAGAAATCCCGCAGGGTACGAGCAGGCGTGCCGCTTCAAACAGCCAAACCCTGGCCGTCCGATGGTTTCTTCGCATTCCTCTGCAAGAGGCGTAGCCAAATTTCGGGCGTCTGAATTCGAGCATCTTCCATACTGGTGTATTAGGGCTTAGGCTGCCCCTTGTAAATCTTCCCACAAGAAGGCCTTCACAATTGTGAAAAAGATCATCATGTTGTGACCACCACATCTTTTGAACGCCCTGAGGTGGCGGGCTCCGCAAACTACAGGGCACTGCAATGGCAGTACATCACTTTGGCAACATTTCATTTAATGCCCCTGGTGCAGTGCGGCCGCTTGCATTCCATCTGAAAGCCATCCCGCCAGGAATACTACACCCTCATCATGAAGATGAGTCTGAAGCTCAGAGGTTGCTGTTCTTGCCCAGCCTAACTTCTAACAGCTGCATGACTGAGGGTCTGACCTTCCCCAAAGCAACACCGAATTTAGAAGATGCCCTTCGCAGACTATTGCCCTATTCCTCTCTGCAAGTTACCTTGCCTGGGCTTCCATGTTTGGGGCAGGCAAGTCTAGATTTCATGTTGAAGGGCATGTGGAGGTGCAAAAAGGGCAAGTACTCAATTGTTCGTTTTAGTATGCAGGGCTTCCAAACAATTAGGGGCCTATTTTGGGGGTCCTGTTAATGAGGATGATAGCATTTTGGTGTTTACATTGGGGCCCTCAATTTTTGGACACCCCCATTTGTGTGGCGGCTTCGGGGAGTTCGCAGTTCGCAAGTCTGTGGAACTTGGCATTTACCCCTGGCCATTGATAGACCGACGGTGTCCCAGCGTTTCTGACGTATCACTGAACAGTAGGGGTCAATTCGGAAGTTTGCCCAGGTGATTTTGTGTGACTTTCAAGGAAATCCGTGTTACTCTCAGCTTCAAACTTGGAGATGGCTCGCTTACTGCTGACCTATCACTATAGGGATGATCTTCTGGCAATTCATCAGGACAACTGCTAGTTAGTTGTGACAGGGAAACCCCGCGCTCACACGATTATGGGGGAATCCCATCTGATGACCAGCCCAGATTTACGTCTTTCTGGATAAGAGCAGAGCTGAACTTCGGCTGGGCAAAACAGACCTCTGAAACATTCTGAAACATACTCCCTGAAACATACCCGAAACATGCACCCACATCAAGAGTAAATTGCACCCTAAACTTACCAAACATACCCCCAAATAGTACCCTCAAAACATACCCCGAAACATACCCCCCGACACAACTTCCCGTGGCGAGCATTCTTCTTTCCGCACAAGCCCATATATTGTCTATATCTATGATGTAGGTACCTATTGCATCTCATAATGATGTTGTTTATGATTCGGGCCACGAAAATATGGCATCAAGTCCTGTCCACACCCTATTCGCAGCTGCACGCGCGATGATTCTCGAGGCTCCAGAAAAGGTGCGGCAGGAAGAGCGATAGGCTGTATGGGTTTGGGATATTACACCCTACATGAACACTTGTTGCTTACTGTTCAGCCCTGGACCCTAGCACTCTTTGAGATCCACCAGCCATGCAGACATGCAGACCGACGGGCCATACACCGAACACCTTAGAAGCCTGAAACCCTTCAACACCCTGCCCTTCAAAGTCGCCTCTCCGGTGGCAGCACCAGCTGGAAGCTATGGGCGCATCGCTATGCACCCCAAGCAATGGTTCCGTCCTCGTGCAGTCGCTGGCCAGATTTCGTAGTGGTGCATAGTATGGGGCACCCTTGAGCATCTGAGGATACTAAAAGAATTGAAGGGCCCTCTACTGGCCATTGGCTATGGTAGTCCCTATATAGCTCATTATACTAGTTTCAATGTTCTTTTCCATTTCCATTGAAAAACCAAAGGCTATTCTATTGGTGTGAAATGCTTCCGGTGTGTGGGCAACATCCAATTTTGCCCTACACCCGAATCAGTCTGAACCTCTTGACTATCTGGTGCCCTCCTGAGTATCCTACTGGCAGTTGGGCGTTTAGTGCTTTATTCTTGGTGTCCTTCTCGAGGGTGTCTACTTTTTCTGGACGAAGCCTGAAGTCTGAACTAAATCTGGATTTTGTGATTCAGGGTTTCTGTTGGATGGTTTCCTTGAGGTTCATGTGAACATGAGCTTGTAGTACCTGTCCCGTCAACAGTTCGGCACTCAGGAAATCTCAATGGACAAAAGTTGCAACTGCAACCCAAAGCCTGGGCTATTCCTCAAATCCAAGTCTTAGGGTTTTGGGTTTAGGGCACCTAGCTCAAAATCAGCCAAGGTCGACTGTGCATGAATGTCGATATCCCCTCTGGGCGGTGAAGGTCTCAGGGTTGGGGGATGTTTAGGGTCTAGAGCCCTCCTTGCATGGATGGACGTCCGTGCAGTAAATTTCAACTTTAAGGCATCACATTTTGAGGCTCTAAACTCTCAACTCCCGTCATCCTCCCAGGTATCGCAGCTTAGGCCATAGGGTTTACAGCTTAGCTGCTTGCATCAACGGATAAAGTACATGGCATCCAGGGACCCAATTCTGAACCACTTTTAGGTTGTACGAGTCCATGTAGGGGCAATGTTGAGAAACTCCCATCTCAGGATGTCCGCAGAAAGCGGGTAAGGGTGGTGAGTGGTTTGAGAGGTTAGGCTGGAGGGCTTGATGCTGGAGTGTTGGGTTTGGAGCCAGTTTCCATGTAATTTTCCTATTCTCTGTTTCACTTAATGCTGCTATATTGGATCTGTAATGGTATGTACACGAACGAACATACTTTGAGGGTTAGGAAGACTCAGCGCGCAGATTAATAGAGGGGAGATCTCAAGTTACTTTGTATAGCGTTTAGGAGTTACTTTGTATAGCGTTTAGGAGTTGTCTGTTTAGGAATTGTCAGCATACTTCGAAATGCCCACTGACCCCTAAACCCCTAAACTCTAAAGCTCCAAGTAGCGTTTGGACTTCTGTGTTCATGGCGCCTCAGGATAGGATGGCGTTCGAAAATGAGGAGTTGCGTTTGTAACCCACACCGGCTAATTGCAAGCATGCAGGTGTATACACGTGCATTGGTGTGGAAATAGTGGGCGGCATACGGACTGATTAAGGTTGAGGGCGGAGCTGAAGTGATTAATGTAGCCATAGTTTAAGCTCCTAGTATCCCCCTTAGTAATCCCTATACGAGTCCCCCAAAAAACCCTTAGATGTATACACCTTTCAGAAGTTTAGACTAATATAGCTTATGTTGTTCTGCTACCTGGCCATCATCCTACAGCGAAGTATTCCCCCACGAGGGGTACTCTTGCGGCATGGGATTTTGAAGCTCCTTCCATCAGGAAATGTAGACTCTGTAAGAAGCTCCAACTCTCCGCATTTAACGGCCAAATTCAATGCTTCAGATATGGTACAGGGATGGCTGCATGTGAGTCCTCGAGCATGTTTCACAAAACCAGAAACCCAATGCCTGCAATCGCTACAAAAGCCCGACTTGAGTCTTCGCGGATCTTAAAATTAAATCCGAGCATGCGTCCCTTACGACTATACATTCGAGCCGGAATCATGGTCCTACAGAGGTCGTAGAGAACTACCCGCACAAACAGCCCCAGAAGCACAACAGAGCCCGAATTAAGTTATCAGTGAGTCGCTAATAGCTTCCATTACATCTTCCCCGTTGAATGACGATTCCAGCCAGAAAAGGTCCTAAAGGGGTCAGAAACGATACGTACGCGTGTGTGTCTGCCCCAAGCACAGTTGCATGAGGTGTTGCAGGACTACTCCAAGCAAACCTGAATGAAACCTAATACTTATGGGCAATTAAAGTCTTGCAGGTCTCGGATTTTCTTCGAATGCAAGGCAAGCCTATGGACCACAGAAAACTTCTCGAGCCTGAGGAGCAAGGTCAGCTTCGGATTGGTTTAAGGCATATAGGTTTTATAACATAGGTGCTATACACCTTAGGGACTGGAGGGGACCTTCGTACATTTTCAGATTTTGAGTTATGGGGCTGTAGCCTCATGCAGCTTGAGAGTGACGTTGTTAGGTTTTGGTCTAATACGCTGACAGCAGTATGACTCACTGACTGTAGAAGTGATTAGTAGCTGTTAGGCTCAGGGTTTCAGTGCAGATTTTGGGCTCATTAGTCTTGGGTCTTGTCGTGTGCAAGTCCAGATGCAGTAAAGGTCTGGGTGAATGGCTTGGGGCATGACGGGGCTCATGCCGAGGTAGTTTGAGGCTTGTTTTTTACTATGTGGGAACTGGGACACTTCGCGAAACTCTTCTTCTGATATAGCTGTTGTAGAAGATAGCACAACAGGCCTAGACTTTTCTTCCTTCTTTTGCCTACTGGTGGTTAGTACAGAATGAAGGAAAGAGAGTATGATTGGGGTTTATGTGCGGACTACTGTACGCATCTCTTTCCCCCGTTCCCCACAAACCACCAGCACCATTGAGGAAAGCAGCAGCATGGAAGCATAGTTGCCCAGCCAAGGAGCGAGGCTTGTTGCACCAGTGGTATCCAGGCATGTTCCTGGCTGCTTCAGAAAAGTTTTGTTGGAGTTGCCTAGAAAGTGTGAGTCACCTGCCATCACCACTGACACTGTAACTCTTGATTGTCCTTCAATTGCAGCTGAACGCCGAATTTCTCTCTCTACTACTTGTAAGCACGGTACTTCCTTCCTGACGGAAGCTGTTACGCAGGAGCCTTCTGGAATTTCATCCCAAGAACCTAAACAGACTTGTACTTTGCTGTGAAGGGCGCATTTACCCAGGTTCGTGATCTTCATCTCGCATCAGTGGCTGAGCAAAGTTCATCCGGATCCAGAGGGGAAGCAGCTCAGTTGCATGTGTGATCGTTTAGCTTTTTGATACCTCTGCATTGTTTCTGTGCTCCAGGGTGTGCGGTGAGCCGTACAGTATACTAGGGAGAAAGCAGCCGAGGCAAGTGGAAGTTCTGCAGAAAACGCTCAAAGGAATCATTGCAGGATCTTTGCACGTCCACGAGGACCCTCGTGAAAGAGCCAGGTTTGGGGTTTGCGGGCTTTGGAGGTTACGACGTAGCATCTTGCCTGTGTATGTCTGCGCGAACTGCAGGGGCTTACCTTATGGCATTGGGCGGCTGACACAAGACTGACACCATAAGCCCTTTTAGCCAGCTGAATTGTGCACCTGAACCTGATTTAGTGTTTCCATGCTGCACAAGGTCACCATGCCAAATCGCAACCCGTTGCAAAATCCTAGAACTCAGCCAGCAGACGATCGCAGTGTTCGGCTGTACTCGCCATGTGAGCGATACCTGACCGCTTGATACCTGGTTCGAGCATGTTCGAGCTGTCAAAGCAGAATCGGTTCCACTGCGTAACGATTGAATGTATAGAGCGCAGGACCGAACGTTCAGCTTTCTCACATGTCCTGTGATAACACCTCAGTTGTCCTCTGATTGGTCCTTTTTTGTCTGCGGCAATAGTGCACACAATGTGGAGTGCACCTACACTTCATGCTGATGCTAAATTCTGCCTCCTGAGGCTTGGCTGTCTTTCACTTTCCATCAAATGCTTCAACCACATAGCGGATGCCTACAACTTCAATGCACGCTTCATCTCATTCCCACCCATGAGTCCTCTAGGGGATCCCTTCACTAGTCACGCTCACCGGAAGAAAGACCCGAGTCCCAAACAATAACACAAGAACAGGACATTGCTTGTCGGACGGCAGACAATAGCTTCTTGGATCCAAGCAATGCTGGAGCACATGTTCGGTTCATGCGGTGTCCCGTAGGCTATGAGCAACAACTAGACCCGGCTTCTCCAAGTGCTGCTACACAAGCTACAAGTACACCCGTGCTACTCCCGTTCTTGCACTTCCTCAAAAGTACAGATACTTTTGCTGATTCCTGCAGTTCATCCCAGCTGGGAACAACAGAGAACAGCTCGGCATGGTGTCCTAGTCCTGCTAAACTGCTAGACCACAATCTACAACCTTACACCTTTAACCTTGGCCCCAGCCCTGAACCCTCAACTCAGGAAGCCTCAGTCCAAACCCCGCTAATTAGAGACCTTGAGGGCCTAAACTGCCATGTGCTCGAGGGCGTGCGGGGATCAGGGTTGTGGGCATCAAGTGCTCTTTGATCATCTCAGCCAGTAAGAAATTGGGCACCCTGGGCCTGACACCCTTGGCCGAGGCCTTTCCTCTGCGATGCGCAAGCAGATTGCTAATGGTTACATCTTCTTCGACTGGTCTCTTAGCAGCAAAGTGGATATACTACAAGCTTTTCGGGCAGTATGCCCCTAGTGCTCGGTTGGATGATTAACTGATTCCTACCATTTCCCCAAATACCCCCAGAGTAGTTTCCCTTTTCTTTTCCATTACCCCAATATAACCTCAATATACCCAAGTTTCCCAGCAGCCTGAAGCTAAAGGCTAGAAATTCTGAGTGCTTACCTTGGAAGCTCAACACTTCCCGGGAAACTCGGCATGTATCGTCAAGAGACCTGAAATGCTGAAGATGCCAGGAGGGGTGGATGCATGGCTCTGTCTATAAGTGTTCTACCGGGCTTACAGGAACTGCGTTGGGTTCCTTAGCCGGTGGATTCTAGAGACTCTTAGAGTACATACACAGGGCATATAGTAGCTGTCCTGAAGGCTTACAGCCTTCGGCTTGTTGGGAGGTTTTGGAGCTTGGTCTCTGCTTCAAGGCAGGCTTGGTGCCCTCAATGATGGAGAATCCAGTGGACAACACAACAGAAACGACTGTAGAGGGCGAACTATATAGGAAGTATGTAGGGGATATAACCCAATAATGGAGAATCAAGTAAACAAGAAGATGGAGAATGGCATGGAAGTTGTGGCGGCAGGGGATCAAGTGGGAACTTACTTTCAGAAAAAGTGCATTTGCGACTCTCGCGAACACCAGCTGTATCAAGTCTGGCCCCTCCATGAGACTGCAGCAATCTGATAAAGACGCAACTTGAAGATTTTGGCAGGTTCTGCATCACTTTGGTCGGAGCCAAGCCCGCATTCCAAAGCCGTAAGCCGCTTTTGTCCTTAGACTTGTCAGCGGAATTGGCAAGTAGTCGCAGCGGCAGATCTGTGGAGTTGGATTGTGCCCTGCAGATGCGATGCACGAGTTGAAGCCCCAACAAAGCACATGCTGTTGCTCTTGGTTGTTGTTATTATTACAGTTATCAAATTTTGATATCGCGGTTGTTCTTACTATTACTACTACTATTACTGTTATCCTGAGGTTTGCTATACCCCAGATCACCGTCCGGACGGAGGGTGTGAACGTAGCTTCTCATGGAGTTGGCAGGGTTCGGGTGCAATTCATTTTACTTCCTTCTGGGTATGAAAATGTGAAGTGTAGTTTGAGGATTCAGGGCTGTGGTTGAAGTCAAGGCTTAGCCCACACTAGGGCACTAAATGCCTTCCAAAGCCCTCACTTTACACGCCGAAGAAGAGTTCCAGCCTTCCTTGGCAACATGAGCATTTGGGGCTTCAGCGTAGATTCAGGGCTCACGTGGGAAACTGCACCTGAAAGGTCCCATGATGTTACTCGTGTTTTGGATTTCTTTTGATTGAGGGTCTTCAGGGCCTAAATTGGGGGACCCTGGATTTACCAAGGGTTGGGGAGCGGCCTGCTCAGAGCTGCTCCAGGGTGATTCTTGCTACAAGGCTCCAGGGCCATTCACGTCAGGCCACCTAAGAGCCTGACAAGAATTAAGTTTTCAGGGATCGACGCTTGTAATTGTTTAGGGTTTACGGTTTGGGGGGGTGCCGATTTCTTGTAGATATGCAAGGAGTATAGAGGATGATCCTCTGGGAGACCAGGAAATTACTCCACAGACTCCTTTTAAGCTTGATTGATTTTTTGGAAGCGCCGCACCAAGGAATGGACACCAATCACATATGGATATCGGGTATTCTGCTTTTCTGCATTATGTAGGTTAGTGTATGAGGGCTAATTCTAGACCATCTCTTCAATCCCAAGCACAGACCCGCAAGACCTGAATTCTAAGCTTGGGCCAAAAACTGAGTAACGGACCAAGAGATACCAGAATGCCGCTTCACAGACCTTCTTTTCGTGGTTCTTGTGCTGAACCCAAGCAGTCATCTGTGTGTTTCTTGACGTTTTCGGAAGAGTTCAGCAGCATTCTCAAGAACAGAGGCGTCACCATGTCATGAATACAGTCCAAAACATGTGCACACCTTTTTGAGGAGCGCATTGAGAGGCTTCAAATTGTGGGTTCCTAGTGCCAGGAATTTGTGACGCTGAGGCCTAGAGTGTTTCCTGAATTTCTGAATGTTTGGCGCCAACCCAGACAGTCCCGAAACTGGCAGCGTAGGGGGGCCTAAAGCGAGGATTGTTTTGGAACAATATTGGTAATCATGCATGCAAGCTTCCGCTCAAAACCATGATTGTGGGAAACCCTGAACAAGCCAAGGAAGAAACCACGAGAAGTGATGCAGCCTTGGCAATTCAAAGCATTCCGGCATACGTCGAACTATCCAGCATGTTCATTGCACTCGTACCAGATCCTCTGGTTGCAAGCTAAGGTTATTTCAAGCCGCATGGCCGGTCGTTCTGCTGATACGGATTATAGGTGATCATAAGGGGCATTACCACGCTTACCATATGTTTGGCAAACTTACAGCACATTTGAACAAGGTGCGCCTTGCCAGGCTTCACGTTTTGGATGCACTGGGGCAAGCCTAGTCGAACATTTCTTGGAGTTTGAGAGTTATGGTAAACGTGTAACTGTAAGGTTGCATTTCCGTGCGCTCAGCAACCAAATTAAGACTCGGTTGAAGACTCAGGCCATTCCATGGCTCTTGGGTCGACGTTGTGCTGAGCTGCTAGGTCCATGCAGTGCGCTTGAATCCAATACGTACAGACATGCCAGGCTTGTATGCGAATTCAACTGCCAAGATGCCTCGGATGAAATTTCCATCATTTTCAGCCGAAGCTAAACACTCAATGCTCAACCCTATGCCCGAAGCACCCATACTGCATTTCGCCTGAGCCCTGTGGGACAAAGGCATGATTTAACAACTCCTCCGAACCTGCAAGCCTGTGCAAGCCTCGAACCACCCTAGCTCTGAACTTTGGCGAAAGTTCCACAGATGGCCTTTATGACATGGCCTCAATATGGCCCTGATGTGCCATCTTCTCTTAGTGGCTCTCCAACATGGATCCTAAATCCGCGTTTAAGCCCTCAGCTTACAGATGAGGAGCTGATGCACAAAGACTCATCAGTGCTGGTGAACTACTCGACCTGGTTGTCCAGAGGGTTCCTCGTATCTTCCTGGACAGATGGGTTTGTGAGCTTTGCATGTTCCATCCATCACAGGGACCACGTATCCTTACCTGTGGTTAGTAGGGAATAAGGGAATAGAATTCCTGATGCAGTAAGAACCACCGTTGCCTCCTCTGTTTTCAATAAAAATTCTTGCGCTGTCTTGAGGGCACCAAAGGGGATGGGTGAGGGTTGAGACAGGCTATCATTGCGATTAGAATGATTACTATTAAGACGATTAATAATCCTCTTATTGCATTTATCATTATAAATAGAGAGCTACGACATTATTGGTTCTAGCTCAGGGTCAAGCACCAAGTTCTTTATCATACTGCGTCAATGTGGAGCAAGCTGGTGATCTTGATCGGGCGGTCAAATATGAGCTGCAGCTTCTTGAGCCTCCTCTCCACGAAATCAAGGACTTCAGAGGTCATATTGTATGCTGCTAGGGTGTTGGTGTAGGTCCTTCGGAGGGCATAGAGTACTGCGCGGATGCGCAGGCCTTGTAGTGGAGAAGATGCAGGCACGAGAGGCCAAATCATTAGGGGCTTGAGGTTCATCCTCCTTACTGGTTCAGCGGCACTTGTGGCAACTTTCGTGTGGACAGCCAAGTCAAGCCCATACCGGTCAATAACTTTAGCGCAGAAAGCCGACTCAGTGAATACAAGAAATCCTACATGACCCTAAGTAAACTAACCTTGGCAATTTTGGT